TTGTTATTGCACGCTTTTATTATTATTTTAATGCGTGCTGATAATTACAGATTTAAATTTAGGATTGTTGTAGAACGTAACAGCAGATTTAAGAGTAAATAATAGATGACGAAACAAGTAGGGTGATTTTTGAAAATTAAAATTATAATAAACGTTATTAAAATTCTAATAAATCACAGAAATTTATTTAGTTTTTCAGGAAATATTTGAAATCTCTTAAATTGAATTATTAAAAATAGATCAAAAACTGAATAAAATTATTAAATTTTGGAAGATCATTTCTAAATGATTCACAAGAGTCACTATGGTTCACAAATTATACACAACAATAGCTAACCTTACTTTATAATTGCCAGTAAATATAAAATATAATATAAATATATACAAAAATTGAAATGTACATAAAAATCTGCAGCCTGCTAATATTACTAAATCATGAACGCTTATTTAATTTCATGTTTAAATATTAAGATTTCTTGCAAAACTCATTGTGACTTTCAATCAGCACGAATAAAAGTAACTTATTTGACCATTTCCTACGAATGCACCTTCACATTCTCAACAACCATAAAACGAGGTATTCGAATATAATAATTTCAACCTGTCTGACACATTTACTGTTAATTTACGATTCAACTAGGATCAGAATATAGAAAACAAGGAATCTCTACGCAAAGAAACACAAAGTAAGAATTCTATCGATCTCTATTAAAACTTGTTGCTCATCGCGTTCCAACGGTTTGCGCCTGCCATAAACGCAGAAATTCCTCGGGCATCGCATAATTCGTAGTCCAGATTTCAATAACATTTTTCCCATACGTATGCGCCGGGCTTGTCGTAAGTAGTATAGGCTTGCACGCGCCGGACGCGTAAAACCTCGTGAAAGTTTCATGTTCCACGCATGGGAACAACCGATAGGAAGGTTCAACCGCGATAGGTATGTCGATGATTTTCGAGTGGCACTCGAGCAGCTCATGCACCGATTAAAGTACAGCCGAGCACATCGAACACCGTGTGCTCGAGTGCGTTGTTTTATCACCAGCCGCGACGTTACGACAACGTTGCTCGAGCTGATCCGCGGTACACGCTTCACATTTATTGGTTTTTAACTGCTCTCGTTCGCGGTATTCGCCGAACAAAGTTTTAACACTCGAACGACGGAACTTTTTTCAGAAGTATATAACTGGAATTGTACAGGGTGTCTCACATAACTCGGGCATCTAAAATGTCTCGCTTGTTTTTTGTGATAGAAAAAAATGTCGGAGGAGAACATTAGTTGATTCAGAGGGGCAAATATTATGGTAGGCAAAAAAGTTCGAGGTTATATTTTGTTGAGGTTTCAAGGTCATCGAAGTTTTTTTAAATGGAATGATATATTTGTATTATCGCTATATGATAGCTGAGATCAAGACGAAATCAAAGACCTGTAATATTGTGACCTCCGCGTGACCTTGAGTATGAAAAATGCATGAAACTAGGGCACTCGATGTAAATGAGGAAATAACAATGATAGAATAAATATTGAAGGAAAATTTATTTCAGCTCGTGTTCTCGTACTCAAGGTCACGCGAAGGTCATAATATTGCTGGTCGTTGGATTTTTCTTGACCTCGGCTATCATACAGCGACAATAAAATTAGGTCATTCCATTTAAAAAGTCTTCGATGATCTTGAAATCTTAAAAAAAACATAACCTCGAAGAAATTTTTTTGTCTGTCATAATATTTTTTTTCTATCATAAAAAACAAGCGAGATATTTTAGATCCTCGAGTTAAATGAGACACCCTATATATAGCTTGGGATTATTTATCAATTTATTTATCAATTTTTGCGAGCATGTTTTTCAAGCTGCTCCTTCTAGAATTTAATTAATAGATTGAGGATTTTAAAGAGAGTGAAAATATTAAAAGAATTTCAACACATCTATTTATTATTTTCAAGTCACTGAAATTATTTAAGGATGAAAGAAAATTTGACTCATATTTGTTGCAATTAATGAAGATAGTTCTTATTTTGCATAAATATCCGCAATCTATTAACCAAACAGGTAAAAATTTCAATTTATTTTCAAACACTAGATAGCTAAATAAGATTTATAGTAGGGGTCCAAACAGACCCGAGCCTCGGCGTTCGTTAAATAACGCTTGCGTTTCACTTTTATTGAAGCGACACACTTCAAGAGTTTCTCTCAACTTTCAAACTTTTTCTAGCAACGTGTTCTTTGAATTGTTCGAAAGTTGGTGGAGATAAAGTGATTGACAGTTAAATAAATTTAATAAATAAATAAACGAACAGATATATTCTTTTGTTATTGTTAGCATGCGTTTGAGTTTTAATCATTTTCCATTCATTTAAGGCACTCACTATTTATAATATAATGTTTATATTATTTATATATACGTAGTAATATTTATTTATTATTCATCATACTTTGAAATTTTACTCACTCAATCATATAGTTATACGTTTGATTACGTTATCAATATTGTTATTCATTGATATTATTTATTGTTTATAGTAATTTTATACGAATATTATGTAATAAACTAAAAGAACAGCAAGAGAACTTAATAAACTAATATATTCAACAAAATATTTACACGAACACACACAGTGTAACAATCGAACAATATACATCATGTTTTTAACAACAATTGAACATTATACTTTACGTGATACTTAAAAGGCAGAGATTAACATTATCCAACAAGCAAAGTACTTAGTCAAATTATTGTTTATCTATAGAATTCCCTCTCAAATATATTCATTCTTATTATTATTACTATTATTTTTATTATTATTGTGTTGAATTTTTATTGTTATTGCATTGAATTTTTGTCGAGACAATTAAAAGTGCATCTGGCCCGTTGATGCCAAATAAATTAAGTACACCTTTATAATTTTAATAATCATAAATTAAACAATTTCTAACGTGTCAAAATGACGTTTCTCCGTAAACCCAGTTTAAAAAAGAATAATGCTGTTCCTATAATTTCACAATCCGTTAATTCTAGGAATAAACAGAGGTGATTTATTGAATCCGTAAGATGGAGATCTCCTAGATCGTATATGTTAGATTTCGATTGGCGATTTTTTCGCGAACTCCTCGAGATCGCATAGCACGCCTCTATCGCGAAAACGACCGCGAAACAAAGTTTAACACGCGTGGCGCAGTTGTGCACGATGCACTCTCGCACGAGCATAAATGTGCAGCCGACATGCATGCTCACCACTGATTTATCGTATCTCTGGTTTGTGCGCGAACCGTCCCCTTATCTTCGCCATTATCTAGCGAATTATAGAAAAACTTTCGTGGGTGGGTCCGTTTCCTCGCCGAGACGCCCGCGGCCACGAAAAATCCGCGCGCCATATCGAGTTCGCTGCTTTGATACATTGCA